GAATTTTCCATAGTCTTCATGGGAATAAAGCATTTGTTGTGGTTCTATGACAGGATTGTCATTCATACTAGATAGTTGCTGAACATATGTGTTTTATGAAGGGGGAACGTATGCATATATTTAGGGCTTCCATTGGTCATTTCCACATAGTTACAAAGTCAGTAAAAATGCTCTGAATAACTTAAAATAGACAACAGCCCTTTGAATTCTGAAGTGAATTTTCTTTTAACTAATCTGTGACCCTTACCCCAAAATAAGTAGAGTTTAATTCTGAGTCAGATCCGTAGAACTATACTGTAAGTCAGGAATTCCTGTAGAGTTCTTTGAATTTTCTTCCATGTAAATGCATATAGAACTGTGCACTACTGCCTGAGGATACAAGCATCAAACTTGTTCCATAGAATAAAAATAAATGCATCTGGCACTAATTTAAAAAGTATATAAACTAAATGTCAGAATATTTTAAATTATAAATTATGTACATTTCCCCCCCTTTTCTAGTCCTCATTCTGCTTTAGATGGCAACAAAATAAAATATTTATGAAAACAGATTCATTGATCTCTTCATAAATGGAGCACAGGAATATTTCTTAAGTGACTTTTCAGCACCTTGTAGGAGGAGAATGGCATTTTCTCCTGTTTTGCTATAGACGCTCACAGTAAAACATTGTTAGAGTTTGTATTACTCGAAAATTGATACCCAAGCATTCCCAGAACTTAATCTTTGTGCTATCATGTTTTTAATTAGGAGCGGATTGCTGTAATGTAATCCAATAAAATAACAAAACTGATTCTTAGTAGAAGAGAACCAAGTGAATAACACAAAAGAGAACTGTTTACTGTGAGTATGTTCTTCAAAAGCTGCATTTGCACCATTCATAATAGATTTTAACTGAAATCAAAGAGAAATAGTACCATCCTATGTACTACAATTTTTATAGAAGTTTTATAGGAGTGAAATGCCTCTTTTGTTTTACTTACTGGAAGGTTTAACCAGGGCATTTGGCAGGTAAACAGAAAATATACCTTTAATAAACAGCTATGCAATTTATTTATAATATGTATTTACAGAAACTGCTCTTTATATACCTATATATAAAGTGGTATTTCCATTAGCTCCTACTCTCCGATATAGAGAACTGCCCATTACCCAAAGAAATAAAATCTTTTTATTCCATCCTGCTTGCATACTAAGCCTGAGGATGTCCCGGTCATAGTTTTGTGAATTGGGAATGTGTACTATGTATGTACAAAAATAGAGACTTCTCTACAGTGGCATTCCAATTTTGGATTGCCTTCCTGGGGGAAATATGTCCAGGCAGTGCTATATTCTTCTTGATTCTAAGTCAGTCCATCCTTTATTATGGTCAATGGCCAGAATTCCACATAAAGGTTCTAACTCAAAATGTTTTTATTTGTTCAAGATCTTTAAGCAGATCGTATTTTTGCATGAAAGAAAGTAAGTAATTTCATTGTTGAAACTACAGGTGATAACATTAGGTAATTGTATTTTATACCAATGCTGAATAATGTCAATCAATGTAGGTTTTTTGTTTTGATATTTTAAATGTTTTGATTTGTAATAATGCATTCAAATTTGGAATTTTTTATGTCCCGTCCTGGGATTCTGTTGTATAAAAGTGTATTCTAGCATGAAATATTATAAATAAATATTTCATTTGCCTGTAATGAACCCACTGGCAATCCATGCTGCTGATGAAGTATTATTAGAGAGATAGGGTGTGGAGTTTCTCTTGATGATCTCCACGTGGCTCACGAGGCAGCAAGAAAAACCGTGGTGTCCAGTTTTATATTTCCTTCTTCCCAATATACAGAGCAAGAAAGGGATTGGATGGAACTTTTTTGTATTGTTTCCAGATTTTCCCCCCCAGTAGTTTTATTAGTAATTGCAACTACTGCTCTTTGTTTCATGGATTAATTTTACAAGGTGCAATAGTTAAACATATTATATTAATTAAATTATACATCAATACAGCTAACTGCTAATGATTTTAAGACCCACAGTTAAGCTTACTTTTTCAAATACACTCGGACAGCATAGTTGTTTTATTGAGCTATGGTATAATTCATGTTGGAAATGCAGGTCCATTCTGGTTACTTGCCAGGATTTTTCATCCTGTTTCCCTGTTGCTTAGCAACACCATATTACAAAGAAACTGGTACAAAGTTAGAGCAGCCTTGTTTTGATAGTTTAATGGAAAGATAGAAGATAGGCTTACAAGAAGCAAGGAAATATTTTTGTTTTTGTTTCCTGTCACTGTAAATTGGCTTCACATGACAGATCATAGTACTTTTTTTGTATTTTGCCTTAAAAGGAAAATATACCACTGGATCAGTGATTACATAACTTATGATATAAAAATAGCATTTCATTATTCATCTCTGAGACTGTATCAAGTAAAATGAGGGGGACAGCAAAGTCCCTATTCAGACATGGAAAAACGTTTTTCTCCTTTGTCATAGCAATGAGCCAGTCTACAAACTCAGGAAGGGAGTTTTGCTCGGTAGCCAAGAATACTTTACACAGAAATTCTGTCCCCAGCCTCTGCCCCTAAATCAGCACATTAGGAAGATTTCTGCCTAAGAATTCGAAAGGTTGCTGGCAGCTAGCATAACTATGGTTCTACAGAATGCTTAGCCATGGGTTTGTTTAATAGGTTACAATGGTTGTTGGCCTATAAGGTTAACCCATGATATGTAGATTATCACACTAAATTGAAAGCAAACAACTTTTTGGATTAGTATGACTGCGGATTAAACGATCAAAACATGCGGCTTGTAAGGCTCACTGGAAGTCTGGCTGGGTAGTCTGCTAGAAGAATTAGTTCATGAGCAGACATGTTGACATTAAATACTGTATTCCATGCTGTATGTATACATTAATGGGGGCTGACCATTTTAATTTGGCCCTTTAAATGACTTTGTGGCAATTGTTTACATGCTGTTTTAACACCATTTTAACATTTAATACATTGTTGTTCCTTCCATATTTTCCCTCTTTAAAAATGTTAATACTTCTGTGACTTATTAAAAGCAGCATATAACTACCAGATATAAAACAATGGAAAAACCTTAGGGCAATCCAGATTTAAATCTCCAGTCAGCCATATATGCTCACTGGCCAACTTTGGACCAGTCACTTTCTGTCAGTCCAGATTAATTCATTGGAGGTTGTTGAGGAGATAAAATGGAGACCCTTATCTAAGGCCCCTTATTATTACTACTGCTACATCATCATCATCTCATTATCATTTTCTTTCACGGTTGCCAAAAGTTCGTTTCTACTTCACTTCAGATGCTGATATTAAAGTCTTTCAGGGCTTATGCCTATAGCATCTGAACACATGTCTCTTCCCATATATTCTTACCAATACACTAAAGGCTTCATTGGAGGCGTTGCCCTCCCATGCAAACCGCAGTTAGGGTCTGCCTGGCAGTAATGGCAGCCCCAGCCATGTAATGCCATGTACAGTAAGGTACATGGAACACCTGGCAAAGATCTTTTTACTCTCCTTCCTTATATCAATAGCTTACTATTTTAAATTTATAGGCTGCAATTAAGCTTTTTTGCCTGCTGCTCATGGTTTTACTGTTTATGTACATAGTATGTTTAATAAGATATAGCTTAGATGTTTATATGTCAGTTTTAATATAATCTTCCTTTGGAAAGCTCTGTTTTCAAGTTTGCATATCAACATGTGAAATTACTAGATAAAAGAAAAATCAAATATTTTTCCTTCTTTTTCTACTTTTACAATAAAAATCAAATTTATAACAGATGTATTCCACTAACTACATATTTGATTTCAAAATGTAATATTTCTCCTGTTTAAATAGCAGAATAAAATACTAAAACTTTCTGAGGGGTATACCATTTTAGGCTGCAGGAACAAACATATAAAACATATAAAGAACCAGTGTTGACAGTGTTGACCAAATCATGCACTTCGGCTTAAAGCATCAAACTTATAAGACCAAGCAGTTGTGCCACTTTCTCTTCAGATTCTTCCTGTTTTGAAAGTAACACATTATTCTTTCCATGCTTCTTCTTTATAAGTAAATATTCTGTATATTGAAAAAATGTCCCATGAGGTGATTTTAAAGTACCAATAAAAATAAATGGCAATGAAACACCTTACACAAAAGATATTATAACACAAGTAGCTCAGAGTCTTCTCACACTTTTTTTTTTTTGCAAATAGGTAAAAATCTGTAAGTCAGGAAAACCTTCATTTCAGCCCCCACCTTAACTTTCAAGCAGTTTTTCTCATTCTGGGACAGACTGAACTACTGAAGCTTTTTTAGAGCATTCAGCCCACTCTGAAAAGTTACATGGTCAGCAAGCTCTGAAAAGAGGAGCGGGCAAGTAATTAATTACTTCTGGCAAATGGAAGCATAGTAGACTTCTTTTCAGTGCTGCCATAGTGCTATCTGAAACAACAGTTATGTGGCTTATATTATTCTTTAAAGCCTTAAAACAATACAAGTAATACAAATGGTTGCACCAATGCCATAATTAATATTTCTTGTTTTTTTAAGAAAAGGATAGGTTATACAAATAAAAAGAAAGGGAAGACCACTGTCCTGTTTAGTCTGATAGTACATTTGCAAATCTGCCTTAGAAAATATCCTTTAATGAGAAAATGTGATTAACTCCATCTTCAAGATAGAAATAATATATCCATGCTCAAAGTGATTTGGTTTCACCTCATTCCAGCTTCAGTAAAGCATGGGTCCCTTATACAGTATGAAACTCAGTGGGTAACATTTCTTTCTTCACAATCTGGCTGATCAAGGTTTATAGCTAGGTCAGCCTGACATCACTTGATTTAGAACAGCATTAACTCAAGTTAACCCAGAAAACATCCCAAAGCAGTTGTAGTCCAGTTAAGGGAATGTACTGCCTGACAAATTCCTTATGTAGATGTTGCAGTGATCTGTCACTATGTTTGTACATAACAATTATTTCTCCTTCACAGAGTGTTGACAGTTCAAACTTGTCTCTAATTGTTCAAAATAAGAAGTGCTTCGATAATGACATCGTTTGTTCAAAAGATGTGTTGCTAACTATTGGAGACTCTGAGATTTTTTTCAGTGAGTCCCTAGACCTACAGGTAAGTTTAATTTCCCCTTTTTAAAGTTATTCACTGAATCCCAATTGAGTATTAAAATGTTGCTTAGTTTACACCAACCATATACTGTATACAACATGATGTGAAGAGAATTATAAGATAATCAGTAGATGCTAGATTGGGGAAGGCTGGCCTAAGCAAGCATAATATAATATAAAACACATGTTCTTTTATAACAATAAAAAGTATTATCTTCTGATTTCTTTTCTTCAAAGTCTTCTATACAATCCCCATTATACTTGGTATCACAGAACCTCTCTGCTGCCAAATTCTCTTCTCCTTCCATTTAATAAGGAACCACTGGGTTTCTTGGAGAAGAATGGCAGCTTCATCAGACAACACAAAATTAAAGTTAATTAAACAGAAAGAAAGCTTTAAAAACGGCAGTGGTGTAGGTTAGGAGAAATGTTAAGGTTTTTCTTCCAGGTTCCTGTGATTTGAGTTTCAACAAAGAACTAAGCTTTAATATTTTGGTGATAGGAAAAACAGCATTTTTTCCCCAGAATTCTCCAGTTATATGAAAAAAGTCAATCCTATGAAAATTCTTCATAATCAGCAGCCATTAAAAGTTCACCCAAACTAAGAATTGATAGATTAGGAATCTAGTTTAACCTAAACTTTTGATGTGGTAATTTTATTGTATCAATTTAAGATGCTAAAGATTTCATTTCACTATGCTCTCATGTGTTCCAACTATTGATCTGTAGTTTTCAATAGATCCCCTTTCTTCAAACCATGATGCAAATAATTGTTTCAGGTATAGCCAAGAGCTTGCATACCTGTTATGAAAGTAGCAGGTCATCTGTATGATGTATCACGGAAATCTTCTGAAACTTCTTTCAATTTATATTACTTCACTCTGGGGTCTGAGACTGGGTTGGGTCACTTCCTTTGAAAGGTGAAAACCTTAATGAACATTAGTAATTGATTATTATTTAGACTGTGGTCATGGAATGTTTAACATGTTATAATCAGGCTGGATTGCTAATAAATGTTTGCTATAGGAAAAGAATGTCAAAAAAAAAAAGTACAGTAACTGTGAGGGTAGAAATAAAGAGAGAAAAGGCTTTACAGATTTCCTTGGGTTGAGAGCTATGTGTGGGTCTTATAGAATATGTTGACAGATTGATGTAGATAGGACAAAGAGCAAATTGGGTATGGGGAAAGCAGAAAGAGGGTGTGCAAAAATATACTTTATTCTTAATCTAATTATACATTAATCATCAATGTTGTGAGTTAATTTCCCACGTATACCAAGTGCAAAGCTGTTCATTTAAAAACAAGTAAAGAATGTTGGAGGCCTGGCTTGCTAACAATATATGCAAAAGATCTTAGAATAGCTGATTGCAAATGAATGTGAATCAGCAGTGCAATAAGGTTGTAAAAAGGCACAGTTTTAGATGTCATCATTGGAAATATAGTTCCAAATCACTGGAAGGAATACAGAAATGTTACTCTGCATTGTTTAGACCCCACCTTGTGTCCAGTTATGGGCACTATACTTGAAAAATAATTCAAAACTAGGACAGGTTCAGAGAAGTTTAAACATTTAAAAACAAAGTGAAATGAAGACAGATTGAAGGAGTGAGCTGTGTTTAGCCTTGAGAAGAGAAGACTGAGGAGGAAAATGATTGCAAACTTTAAATATTTGGAAGGATATCATAGAGAAGTTTAAGAATTGTTCCCAGTTGTTCCCAGTTGCAGGACAAAGAATAATAGAATTAAGCTATAGATAGGAAGATTTCTACTGAATGTTAAAAAGAAAAAGAAAAAAGCTTATATATTACATGTGACTGAAGCAGCATCATTAGTACCTGACAGGTATCTATTTATTTATAGAGGATGCTAAACAGACATGGAGACAGATCCAAGTACCAAGTATGGAAAGCTGGATATTATGTAGCAATACATTTTCCAGAGCAAGAGTTCACAGTACTCTGGGACAGGAAGACAACAATGCATATCAAAGTCGGACCTCGATGGAAGGTGAATCAGTATGAAGCTAAGTCACTGTAATGATAGGAAACAGGAGGACTATTCTACAAACATGCCAATTTATTCTTGAGTGATGCTTGATATAAATAACACACATTTATAATATTTTGCAAAGTATCTTTTGTAATATGGCCAAGTGCTCCACGAACAATACATTCTTTTTGGTCTAATACACCGTAGGTTCCAAAAGTTCCTCACCTTGTCAGAAATGAATACAGAAATGTGGTTTCAAGAAAACGTAGGCTTTACATTCTTATTCTCTTAGACTAAAATAATCTTCTCTATTGTGCCTGGAATAGCTGCATATTCATGGCCCATAGTGTTATATTGATCATATTATCCTAAGATGAGAGAGGAAAAAACTAATCACAAGCTGGGAAGGAGATATTTTCCCCCCCATAATGAAAACAGTTGCAAATATTTCCTACAAAACACGGTCCTTTTACTGACACATGTGTTATCATAGGCATCTGGTACAAACTATGATGGTGCCATGGACCTCATGGTGTCACCTGCTCGCCCTTGTCTTCCCCAGAGATGCCACATTTTCTGACCTAAGAAGTAGAATGAGAATTCCTTCTGATTTAATTTCACTTACACCCCTTGTGATGCTTGCAGAAATGTTTTCACTGCTAAAGCTATGTGATATTTTGTCAGTTCTTTGCTGTTAGGTTTTTAAAAACTCTGGAAACTGCCTTATGTTGAGACAGCCCTTTGATCCAACTAGGATTGCTAACACTGACTGGCACCAGTTTTTCAGGTTTCTGGCAAGAATTGTCTGGCCCTCTCTGGAGATGTTTCCAGTGATTAAAGGAGTTATTAAATTAATAAACATTTGCACTAAGCCCAGCTAGACTGCGGGATGGGGGAGGTAGATAAGATTAAGGGGATAAAGCTTATATCACCAGTAAGCACATGCTGTGAAAGTGGAGAAACAGTCAACAAAAAAAAGATAACATTAAAACAGTTATAGAAAAGGTTACATTTTTCTAAATGCTAGTCTAAATTGTGTCTGTTTTGTGGGTACTAAATCTACTTTAATACCTAAATTAACATTAATCAGATTTTTTTAAAAAATGAGTGCATTGTTTGTTAGCTTCATACATCTTGATTGTCCTAGGTAAAATATGTTTAGGAAAAATGTTTATGCTTTTACTTTTAGGGTAAATTAGCAGGTTTATGTGGGAATTTTGACAAATTTACTTCAAATGATCTGACTACATCGAATAACATGGAGGTAAAAAATGCTCAAATTTTTGGAGAGAGTTGGGCAATAGGACAGGTAAGCATAACATCTCCATTTATTTTACTTTGATTTAAATAATTGCAAGCACAAGAACTTGTGGAAATATAATTACTTTTAAGGCAGCCACTGATAGCTCATTGTTATGACAGCCAGTGGATGTGGTATTAGTAGTAATAGTGTATACTTACTACTGGTACTTCTTTCCCACACTTTCCCCTACCCCCCAAATTCCCCTTATTCTGCACATTCTCTTTCTAACTTGTCTCAGTGTTTCTTGATTAGGCAACTGAAGTAAAGAAGATGGGGATATTTTATGGCACCCTTCTTTAAATATGTTTGAATACAACTATCGTTTCCATCTCATCCTGGCTGGAAATTGTGTGGGTTGTAATTCAGAACATCTGGAAGGTTTCTCTTTTTTGGGAGAAATTTGTTCTAAGTGAAGCCTCATTTCATAACTACACAACAAAGACTATCACAAAACCATAAGAGCTGTTAAAAGGATATTTGTGGCTTCATGCTAACTGAAGAATAATGATATTTACCATTCTGTGGGCCAAACACCGTATGAGGGAAAATCTTTAACATTTAAGTTCTCAGTTGGATTTTCCTGCTAGAATGAATGTAACATCTCCTATTTAGCTGAAGCAAAATTGTTTCTAAAAATAGTAAGTGTATCTTCTCCATGACATTCTGCTATATAAAAGTGCAGTAACCTTGTCCTACCTTGTACTGACCTATCATGTTACAAATATGGTTTTGACTTATTTTTTGCTCTTAAGTAGATTTCTCCTGTTTGCTGTAAATTTTATTGTGATATCTGATATTTACTTCAAGCAAAACAATTTCCTATATGAATGATAGAAATCAATGTACTGTACATACAGTATATACTTTATAAAATCTGAAAAACACAATGTATATCTTATACATAATTGCCTTGAAACAGCAATCTTCAGACAGCTGCAGCACTAACATTTTCCCCTTATGCCTCCTCACTATTAATTCTTTCCTTAATTATATTTTGCATATTTTTCAGGAGTCAGTATAATGTTGATTCTTTATTTGAACTTATGAACAATGTAAATGTATCAGAGCAGCAAATATTAACCAAAGGTTATTAGAAGAACAAAGCTCTATTTACAATTTACAATTGATTGTTCTGGAAACAATAATGGTGTGTGATAAAGAAAACATTTAATTCAGTGCCAAAAATCATAGGAATACATGCTTGTTTTAAAAGCAAAACAGTAAACAAATATTCTTCCCAGTTATATGTTTTCATTTGGAAGGACAACATGAAGCTAACTTAGTAAAAGAAATATACATTCAGTTTTTTAAAGACTTTTGAGTTTTTAATAGATATTTCTAATGGATAATAATAATAATAATAATAATAATAGCCATGCTTTATTTCTCTTTCATTAGTGTGCAAGCCCAAATGAGACCATCAAACCATGTGAAGTTCATCAGAACAAGTTCCCATATGCCAAAAAAGAATGTTCAGTTTTATACAGTGATGTTTTTGCTTCTTGCCGCAATGTGGTAAGTGGATATTTCTTACATTTTCTAAAACTGCTCAAGACAGCTTGTAGTTCATAACTTAATAGAGAATTTCTCCTCCTCCTGAGAGCTCTTTGCACCAAAGTCAAATTCCTTGTATGTCTAATCATACTTGGCCAATAAAGTATCCTATCCTATCCTATCCTATCCTATCCTATCCCTCCTCCTCCTTCTTAATGTGTCTTTTGAACTTTCTAATAACATGCTGATACATTTTTGCAGATGTCTGTACGTAAGACATATACCATATGTTTGGTGGGGTGGTTAAGGCATCAGGCTATAAACTGGGAGACTGTGAGTTCTAGGCTTGCCTAGGCACAAAGCCAGCTGGGTGACCTTGGGCCAGTCACATTCTCTCAGCCCTAGGAAGGAGGCAGTGGCAAGCCACTTCTGAAAAAACCTTGCGAAGAAAACTGTAGGGACTTGTCCAGGCAGTCTCCGAGAACTGGACATGATTGAACAGATTAAAAAAAAAAAAAACCAACATACAGTATACATGTTATATGAGATTACATTATAGTAATTTTAAATAACTCATGTTTCCTGATGGATTTTAGATCTTTATGTTTCCCATACTATTCACCATGTGTTATTTTTCTCTGTATTTTCCAGATTGATGTCACATCATTTGTGAAAAACTGCCACACAGATACATGCAACTGTAATCTTGGTGGAGACTGTGAATGTCTGTGTACTAGTATTGCAGCTTATGCTCATAAATGTTGCCAGCAGGGAGCAGTAATTCACTGGCGATCTCCTTCTCTCTGCCGTATGTATGCTTTTTGTTATTTTCCTAAGTATAATCCCTATAAATAATGCAGATTATTTCACACAGTGTTGCTTCTTTTCAATTAAATCATAGCAGTTCAGTGTGCTAGAACATATACATAGAGGGTGACAGCAGAAACTATAGTATAGAAATATTTTTAATCTATATTTTAATAATTGGTCTTTATGTTAATTAGTACAGGTTTTACAACTGAATCATCCTATTTCCCAGACTCTGCTCCCTCTCTCCCTTCCAAATCAAATGTAAATGAAGATAGGGCCATGCTAATATCTTCAACATCACATGGACCATTTAGTTACTCCTCCAGCCATCTATCCATACAGATGTAGGTATTCAGGCAAGGGAGCCTTCCTGTTTATAAATTGTATCCATGGAGCCCCCCACATGAGCTAGAAACATAATAATGTACAGTACAAGCATCTATCTGCTAATATATATTTTTTTATTCCTCACTTTTTAAAAGGACCCCCCACCCCCAGCACTGGCTAATGAATATGCATGAAAATATAAATGAATATGAATTTATTTTTTTATTCTACAGTACAGAAAAGGCTAATCATAGGTATGTGTGTAACAATAAAATTAGGTCCTCATAAATAGTAGCTCTATGTTGATATATTTTCTTTTACTAATAATGAAACTGGGTGAATATTTAGCTCAGTAAAGGGCTTAATTAGAAGATGTAAAAGTAGCTTTTTTGTGAATTCTAGTTTGTTGTATATTGTTGTCATGAATCACAAATTCTGTTACTGTTGTTCACTATAAATATTACTATATTGTTCTTTTTTTTTTTCAGCTTATGACTGTGATTATTACAATCAAGGTATGTATTTTTTCTGGGTATTAAAGAAAATAATACTAGGTACATATACATGTATCCAAGGCACTTATCCTTTTTATTGAATAAGTAGGTTACATTTGAAAATTATTCCAAGTTGTAAAAATAAAACATGGTCATAATGCCATGTGGGAATTACAAGCACCATTTAATGCAAATATTTGAGTATTAATGCAAATAAATTAGCGCCCTAATTGAATTTCCATTTTACCTTTGATTTATTTTATTTACAAAAAGCATGCCTCAACAGCATGAAAGTTTCTGTTCTTTCAAATGGCTGGTTATTCTTCCTCGGTGACTGGTTTTTCTATTGCTAATTAACATTGGCATTTTCCTACTTCCAGAACTTGGGGAAGGGCCTTATATTTTGGCCAATTATGGCCAGAATGATACTGTTATAGGAATCAACATCAACAGCAAAAGGGTGTTTCCCTTATCTAGAAACAATCTCCAAGGAAATGTCTATTATAATTTTATGCTAACACCTGGACTTTACAAAGATAAAATTTTAGGTGAGTATTTACTTATGATTATAAGTGTAAGATTTGGTGGGGGGCAGGCCCCAGCGGCGCCGAAAGTGTGAGCTCGTGCGCCGGCGGGACCGTCCCTCACCTGTGAGTGTCTGGTTGTGAATGAGGATGACTGATTGGATGGAGTGACCTTTACCCCGGATTAGGGACTCCAGGGGTCCGGGTTTGGAGGTACCTGGGCCCAGAACCTCTGGGGACTATGTGGGGGGCCACACTATTAAGGTGGTGATGGGTAGGGGATGATATTGCAGGAGCTGGAGGGTGGGCCATCTTCAGGGAAGATGCCCCCAGTGTGTGTTACTGGCGGTGTGTTCCGGCCCTCCTTGCTCATTCCCAGGCCCTGGTCAACAGATTCATAGGGGCCCTGGCCTTCAGCTGCTGCTGCTTAATGCCAGGTTGGTTAAAAACAAGGTCCCTGTCAGGCCTAGCCCAAGGAACTCCAAGAGACAATGCAAATTCAGTTCAGCTATGTTTATTAGCTACAACCT